AGTGAGAGAGAGAACTAATGGAGAACATGACGACGATCACAGGAGCCGACAGCACTGGTGGGCATTGACTCTGCACCAGCCCACCATGAGAAGCACTTCCCATGGATTAGCCACTTAATCCCAACAACAATCCCATGAGGTTAGTATTCTCATCGCCCCCATGTCACCGAGGCCTGAAGAGAATTCCACTGAGGCTCGCTCACTCCAGAGCCACCATCCCAGAACACCATGCTCTACTGCAAGCCATGCTAGCGATGAGACCATTTTGTTGTGCTCAGCGCCATCACCTGGCCAAAGGCGGTGCAACTGCGCCTCCAGGAGAAAACTGTTGAGTCAAGTGGTAAGGAAGCCATCTCTGAGGAGGTCTTTGAAATAAGTGGGCTAATGAGGTAGGCATCTTCACTAGGATGTCACAGCCTTAGAGAAAAAGGGCGGATGGGGAGGCAACCTTGCCGTGATGGGTAGGAGCAGGGATGGAGAAAAGCACCATGAAAGGAGCAGAATTAGCCAAGACTGTTGCAGCTGGGGGCAAACAAAGCCACCCTTCTTCCCCTGGAATAAGCAATGGCTGGCAAGGACCCAGCAGCAGTCAGGTGAGAGTCAAGGTGGCCTAACATCATCCCTTTCCCTAGCCCCATTCACCTAGAGAGAGAGAGAGAGAGAGAGAGAGAGACAGCACCCCCCTTTCCATTTCCACCACTCCCCTCTACCTCCCCTCAAATAGACCTTGTTTCCTTGTTTAGGTGCCCAATTTTGTCAGTCCCACAGATAGGTTACGAAGGACTGAAATCAAACCTCTCCATTCTGTGGGCACAGCATTTTCCAAAGGGCTAGCAGCAGGCACACCTGAGACAGTTAGGCCCTTGGCAATTCTTCCTCACTCTTGCCCAGTCAGTCCCCAGAAGAAAGCCTCAACTTGGTGCTAACATATCTTTCATTCACCTCTCATATTTGCTCATATTTGAACAGAGATCAGACTCGAGATCTAGAGCCTTCCATGGGCAGCAGCGTCCGCCCTCCTGCCTTTGAGGAACTCCAGATCACACGTACAGGGTCCCACAGTTCACAGAGGCTTTGTTCCTACTTGTTCATTCTTTTCACTCTCTGTGCTTAACTTTGTGTGGTTTCTGTTGCTCTATCTTCAAGTTCACTAATCTCTTCTGTGATGTGTCATTTGCAGTTAAATCGTGCAGTGTGTTTCCCATTACAGAAATTGTCGTGTGTATGTCAAGAATCTGAGTGTGGGTCTTTTTTACATCCCATGTCTTTTTTTAACTTTTCGATCATATGGAGTACGGTGATAACTTTCAATTTCTTTGCCTCTAATTCCAGCATTTGTGTCAGTTATTGGGTACATGTTCATTTTCCTTCTCCTTATGGGCCCTGTTTTCCTGTTTCTCCTGACGTTGTTAGGTACTGAAGGTTTCTGTTTCTTTATAATTATTCTTGCTCTTTGTTCTGGAATGCAGCTAAATTATTTGCAAACAGTTGGATTCTTTCAGGTCTTTGAAGATTTGTTGGGCAAGACTCAAGCAGTGTTTAGCCTAGGGCTAATTATTCACTACTGCTGAGGCAAAAACCTTTTCACTATTCTACCCAATGCCCATGAATTATGAAGTTTTCTATTCTGGCTAGTGGGAAAAGCACTATCCCTGGCCATGAGTGCCAGGTACTGTCCCCTCTAATCCTTCCAGGTAGTTATTTCCTAACCTCTAGGAGTTCCTCGCCTGCACATGCTGATCAGTACTCTGCCTAGTGTCTGAGGGAACCCTCTACAGATACTCCGAGTTCTCTGTGCAGCTCTCTTCTCCCCAGTGCTCTGTGCTGCGAGCTCTTGCCTTGGTCCCTCTAGACTTTCAGCTCTAGCTTCTCAACTAAGGGAGTGTACTGGGCTTCTCTGGGTTCTCTCTGCACACACCACAGCCTACACAGCCCGAAAGTTCTCCAGAGCTCAATGGGGCAATCATAGCTGGCTTTTCCCAGGGAATAACTCTTCTATGTCTAGTTTCCAGTATCTTAAAAACTGTTGTTGCATATATGCCATCCTTGTTTGTTTGTTTGTTCCGCTGGAAAAGTAAACCCATTCTTTGTTAGTCTATCTTGGTTTGATGTAGAAGTCTCCTGTTTACTGAGTTTTTGTTTTTGTTTTTCTTTTTTGAGACAGCGTCTCACTCTGTCTCCCAGGCTGGAGTGCAGTGGCACAATCTCAAATCACTGCAACCTCTGCCTCCCCGGTTCAAGCGATTCTCCTACCTCAGCCTCCTAAGTGGCTGGGATTATAGATGTGTGCCACCACACCTGGCTAATTTTTGTATTTTTAGTAGATACAGGGTTTCACCATGTTGGCCAGGCTGGTCTCAAACCCCTGACCTAAGGTGATCCACTTTCATCAGCTTCCCAACATGCTGGGATTACAGGTGTGAGCCACTGCACCTGGCCCTGTTTACTCTCTCAATCATCTTCACATTGATCATGTGCTTTCTCATTAAATTCATGCCTAAATATCATTTTTGTTGCTATTATAAATGGACTATTTCCTCCCCTTCTCCATTTCTAGGTACTTATTTCTAGAGTGGAGAAAAACCACTGATGTTTGCTATCATTTACATTTAATTTGCTGACATTTTCCCTGAAATTGAACCATCCATAGGTAGGCTGGAGCAAAAGAAATTGCGGTTTTTTGCTATTAAAAGTAATGGCAAAGGTCGGGCATGGTGGCTCACGCCTGTAATCCCAGCACTTTGGGAGGTTGAGGCTGGTGGATAACCTGAGGTCATGAGTTTGAGACCAGCCTGGCCAACATGGCAAAATCCTGTCCCTACTAAAAATATAAAAATTCTAGTAGCCGGGTGTGGTGGTAGGCACCCGTAATCCCAGCTACTTGAGAAGCTGAGGCAGGAGAACCTGGGAGGCGGAGGTTGCAGTGAGCTGAGATCATCCCACTGCACTCCAGCCTGCACTCCACCTCAAAAAAAAAAAAAAATAGTATTCACCTGGACCATTTCAAAAAGAAAAAAATAATAAAAATAAAAATAAATAGTAATGGCAAAAACCGCAATTCCTTTTGCACCAGCCTAATAAATTTATTCGACAGCAAGTAAGGGGAAAAGAGGTGGGCATCTAGGTGCAGATGCTCAGCACTGCGACACAAGCTCTGCTCCACTCTCTTCATGTTAGCTTGCTACTTCATGACACAAAGGCTTCTGCAACTCCAGGGCTCCTGGATGTGATCCAAGGAGGAAGGAAGGAGGGGCAGCACCTCCTCCCACATCAGGAAAGAAAAGGTTTCTCAAGAGAAAGTTAGCATCCTATTAGCCAGAATTATAACATGGGACCACCTATAATAAGTCAAGCTGGGGAACCAAGTGTTTATCTAGAAATATTACCACAAATCCACAAAAACATCTGGGTGCTGGTTGGTAACAAAGAATTAAACCAGGCAACTCATAATCTACACACTACTCCTGCATTCTTAGAACAAACCCTGCTGCGTCACAGTGAGTTGTTCTTTTAATTACATTGCCACGTTCTATTCAACAATTTTTTAAAGATTTTTTTTTAAGGCTATTGCGAGGCTCAAGGCTTTGTGATAGATCTGTGATTAAATGCACATAGAAATGCCAGAAGAGGAGCGGGGCTCAGCAGCTCATACCTGTAATCCCAGCACTTAGGGAGGCCAAGGCAGAACTGCTTGAGCCCAAGAGTTCGCAACTAGCCTGGGCAACATGGTGAGACCTCATCTCTACAAAAAAATAAATAACCTCTGTTATGTTCTTTTTCACGTTGCAGTTGGGTATAAAAAAAAGAAATTCCAGGAGAGGAAAAAAAGGGAGAACAGAAATTTTTTTCTAAAGTGCTATGTTAAAGAGAATAATTCATCTATTAATCGCCAGTGGCATCATATGTTATATTGTCTTTAAACACTAAAGTCGAAGTATTTGAATTTTTTTTTTTTTTTTTTTTTTTGAGACAGAGTCTTGCTCTGTGACCTGGCTGGAGTGCAGTGCCCACTGCAACCTCTACCTCCCTGAAGTAATTCTCCTGCATCAGCCTCCCTAGTAGCTGGGATTACAGGCACCTGCCACAACACCCAGCTAATTTTTATATTTTTAGTAGAGATGGGGTTTCACCATGTTGGCCAGGCTAGTCTCAAACTCCTGATCTTAAGTGATCCACCTGCCTCAACCTCCCGAAGTGCTGGGACTACAGGCGTGAGCTACCACACCCAGCCAATATTTGAAATTTTCTAAGCTTCAGATTTCTTTGAATTTAAAATATCTCAAGTGGATATTTAGCATTTAATTCAAATACAGAAAAAATAACTCGTTCTCTGGGGTTTTTTTTTAAGAGACGGGGTCTCGCTATGTTGCCCAGGCTGGAGTGCAGTGGCTATTCACAGGCGCAATCCCACTACTGATCAGCACAGGAGTTTTGACCTGCTCCGTTTCTGACCTGGGCAGGTTCACCCCTCCTTAGGCAACCTGGTGGTCCCCCGCTCCCAGAAGGTCACCATACTGACGCAGAACTTAGTGCAGACACCCAATCGGCATAGCACACTACAGCCCAGAACTCCTGTAGTCAAGCAATCCTCCAGCCTTAGCCTCCTGAGTAGCTGGGACTACAGGCACACACGACCACGCCTGGCTTTCTCTGGAGTTTTATGAAAATATATCTATTGCAGTGATAATAGTGTTATGGTCATTTTCTTTATCTTTCAGAGATACATACTAAAATATTTATAGATGAAATTATATATACGGTATTTCCATCAAAATAAGAGTCATGAAGGAGAAAGTGGATAGAAATAAAGATGAAGCAGGGTTGCCATGAGTTGATAATTGTTGAACAGGGTACTAATTATATGGGATTCAACAAGGGTATTGAAATTTCCCCCAATAAAATGTTCTTTCAGTATTTGTAGAATGGAAGCATGTATGTATAACATACAAATGTATACATACAAACATTTGTTTTAAATGATACACAAAAAATGTTAGGAATTCTAATCCAAAGCATTTTATTGCTTTTCAAAAAGGGAACTATACATGGTCAGTATCATGAGGGGATAGTTCACTCCTCCCTGACCTTGGTCACAGGCCGCCACGAGGAGGGACTACTGCAGCCCTCCAGTAGCCACTGCCATCTTTCTCATCACTGTCCTTACCTTTGGAGTCCACAATCCCCAGTGGCTCCTGAGTCTAGACTCTGTCAAATTCCACACTGATAGCAACAATGACTGCATCTGATGTATGCTGCTGGCAATCTTAAGCCCAAAATGCTTCAAAGATTGAACAGTCATATACATTTAAAATACATAGAAAAATAATATAATTAGAATGTATACAAAGTAGATTTTTACAAAACAACTTCACTGCAAGAAATACATCTTAAATCCAAGCACAAAAATGTGGAAATATACACGGAAGGATATATGTTTAAGAAACAGTATTTTTATTTCTAAATGCTGAGTGAGAAGACATAGACTACTAAATTCTAGATTACTGATAAAATTTCAAAAAGAACTTGATTTTGCTAGCAGAAATTTTTACCCCATTCTCAAGCTTCTACAAACAGTTCTTGAAGGAATTAGACAGCTGTTCCTCTTTCCAAATTCTGTTTAATTTCAGCTGTGTATTTCCCATAGAATCTTTCAGCTTTCTTGTTGAATTTGGCGTTCCTTTCATTAATGTAGTCAATATCTGCATCATCATTATAAGGACGCCTCCGGCTATATTTGTCTCGTTTTTCAATCCTGAGGAAAGAAGAAAATTTACAAAATTCAAAATTGCCTTCTCTTTTGATCTTAATAAGACATCCCCAAACAGTTAAGAATAAAATCTACATTTAGAATCGCACACATTGTGGGGGCTGGAGGAAGCCAGGCCAGTTTTCATCAAGTTCCAGTTGAAACTGAATTAATGGCACAACTCAGGATATGGACTGTGAAATCCAGTAAACACAAATTCATCTTCAGATTGCTAAAGCAATGATTCATTTTTGGGAACTCGACTGTACCGAAGCACCACTTAAAAGTAGCTAACTATCAGGCCAGGCACTGTGGCTCAGCACTTTGGGAGGCCAAGGCGGGCAGATCACCAGAGGTCAGGAGTTAAAGACCAGCCTGACCAACATGGAGAAATACAAAATTAGCTGGGCATGGTGGCGCATGCCTATAATCCCAGCTACTTGGAAGGCTGAAGCAAGAGAACTGCTTGAACCTGGGAGGCAGAGGTTGTGGTGAACTGAGATTGTGCCACTGCACTCCAGCCTGGGCAACAAGAACAAAACTGCACCTCAAAAAAAAAAAAAGAAGATAACTATTAGCTGGTCATGGCGGCTCATGCTTGTAACCCCAGTACTTCTGAAGGACAAGGCCTCCCAAAAGGTCCTTTGGAAGGATCACTTGAGCTTAGGACTTCCAGATCAGCCTAGACAACACAGAGAGATTCCATTGCAAATATTTTTAAATACATTTTTTAAGAGGATCACTTGAACTCACGAGTTCCAGACCAACCTGGATAACACAGAGACTCCATCGCTATAAAAAATGTTTTAATACATTTTTTAAATAAGAAGATAACTATAACAATAATTATATTAAATAGGCCAGGCACAATGGCTCACACCTGTAATCATAGCACTTTGGGAGGCCGATGCAGGTGGATCACCTGAGGTCAGGAGCTTGGGGCCAGCCTCGTCAACATGGCAAAACTGTATCTGTACTAAAAATACAAAAACTAGCCAAGAGTGGTGGCGCATGCCTGTGGTCCCAACTACTCAGGAGGTAGCTTGAACCTGAGAGGTGGAGACTGCGGTGAACCGAGATCACGAAACTGCACTGCAGCCTGAGCAACAGAGTGAGACTCTGTCTCAAAAAAAAATTATATTAAATAACCACAGCTAATACCGAGTGCACAATATGTGCCAGACACTGTTTTTTTGTTTTTGTTTTTGTTTTTTTGACATAGGGTCTCGCTCTGTCACCCAAACTGGAGTACAGTAGTGCAATCACAGTTCACTGCACCCTCGACCACTCAGACTCAAGTGATCCTCCTGACTGAGTCTCCCAGGTAGCTGGGACTACAGGCAAGCACCACCATGCCCAGCTAATTCTTGTATTCTTTTTGTAGTGACAGGGTTTCACCATGTTGCCCAGGCTGTTCTCAAACTTCTGGACTCAAGCAATCCTCCTGCCTCAGTCTCCTGAAGGACTAGGATTACAGGCAGGAGCCACTACGCCCAGCCCAGACACCATTCTTAATACGTTACATGTATTAACTCCTCACATATTTTCATTCTGCTCTACTTAACAGTTGCCTCTATCAGAATTAAGAAACACAAACATAAGTGAGGAACACTTACTACAACATTCTTGCTTCTTCAAATCAAACAGGGGAGTGGCTGTTAAAGTCCTTAAAGAAGGATCCTTTTTTTTATATACCTTTCCCCTTTACTTGTAACAATTCCATTTCATCAACATTCTGCATCTCCACTCCAAGTCATACATGTTCAACCCATACCTGCTATCTACTCCCAAACCACTATAGATACATCAGAAATTAGCAAGTGTAATTTATATATTTTCAATTCATTCTAAGCACATGAGATTCAGGTGCATACGCTAAGTGTATTTTGTCACTAAGTATTTACAATGTCAGGCTGCTCTACTGAATACTTACTGTTTTTCCAGATCTATGACCATCCTGTCAATTTCCTCTGTGGAAGGCACATGTGTTCCATGAAGAAGACTATTAGATGTTGGGAAAAACTCTTCTCCACTGAAAAGACAGCAAAATGAACTTATTTGAACTATATGAACTATAGTTCAAATGAACAAAATGAACTATAAATGCTCCATTTTCAAATGTCAAATGAAACTACCATTCATGATGAGAGAGAAAATACACACACATATTTACTGTGAGAGCCTACTTTAATTTTTTTTTTTTTTTTGAGACAGGGTCTTGCTCTGTTGCCCAGGCTGGAGTGCAGCAGCAAGGTCTCAGCTCACTGCAACCTCCACCTCCTGAATTCAAGCAATTCTCCTGCCTCAGCCTCCGAGTATCAGGGATTACAGGCACCCACCACCACACCCAGCTAATTTTTTTATCTTTAGTAGAGATGAGGTTTCTCCATGTTGGTCAGGCTGGATTCGAACTCCTGACTTTGTGATCCACCTGCCTTCCTTCCCAAAGCACTGATTATAGGCGTGAACCACTGTGCCAGCCCAATTCTTTTCTTTAATAAAATACAGGCCCGATGTGGTAACTCACATATGTATTCCCAGCACTTTGGGAAGTCAAGTCAGGCGGATCATTTTGAGGTCAGGAGTTCGAGACCAGCCTGGCCAACATGGCAAAACCCTGTCTCTACTAAAAGTACAAAATTAGCCAGGCATGGTGGCACACACCTGTAGTCCCAGCCACTCAGGAGGCTGAAGCAGGAGAATCACTGGAACCTGGGAGGTGGAGATTGCAGTGAGCCGAGATCACCCCGCTGCACTCCAGCTTGGGCAACAAAGTAAGACTGTCTCAAAAAACAATTTTTTTAATTAAAAGAATAAAAATACAGTCATGCACAGTGGCTCATGCCTGGAATCCCAGCATTTTGGGAGGCCAGGGTGGGCACATCACCTGAGGTCAGAAGTTTGAGACCAGCCTGGCCAACATGGTAAAACCCCGTCTCTACTAAAAACACAAAAAAGTTACAGGCATGGTGGCGGGCGCCTTAATCCCAGCTACTTGGGAGGCTGAGGCAGGAGAATCCCTTGAACCTGGGAGGCGGAGGTTGCAGTGAGGAGATTGTGCCACTGCACTCCAGCCTGGGCAACAGAGTGAGACTCTGTCTCAAAAAAAATTAAAAAATACAAAATTGATTCCAATCTTATGAGAACTAAGAAAAACTTTTAAAATTTTTTTTAAAAATACAAAATTGAAAGGAACCTAAGACATCATCTTCTCCAACACCTTCATTCTACAGATCAAAGAGCCAACGGGCAGAGGCTCCAGGACTTATCAAAGGTTACAAAGTGCTAGGGTCAGAGCTGGAATTAGAGCTCCATCCTGAAGTTATTTTCTTTTCCACTAAAGCAAGCTGGCAAACTACAGCCCACCACCTGTTTATGAAAACAGTTTTACTGGGACACAGCCACACCCATTCTTTCATGAATCCTCTGCAGCTGCTTTTGCACTGCAGCAGCACAGCTGAGTAGATGTGACAGACTATATGGCCCACAAAGCTGAAAATATTTACTCTCTGGTCCTTCACAGAAAAAGTTCACCGACCCCAGCTGGGTGTGGTGGCTCATGCCTGTAATCCCAGCACTTTGGAAAGCTGAGGTGGGGGGATCACCTGAGGTCAGAAGTCTGAGACTAGCCTGACTAACATGGAGAAACCCTGTCTCTCCTAAAAATACAAAATTAGCTAGGCATGGTGGTGTATGCCTGTAATCCCAGCTACTCGGAAGGCTGAGGCAGGAGAATCGTTCGAACTTAGGAGGCAGAGGTTGTGGTGAGCCAAGATCACACCATTGCACTCCAGCCTGGGCAACAAGAGCCAAACTCCCTCTCAAAAAAAAAAAAAAAAAAAAGTTCACCAATTACAGCACTAACATGGAGAAACATTCTGCCTCCTAAAATAGTAAGTCGGTAACAAGTAACTATGACAATCAGGGTGTTAATCAATCAACAACCAGTCTTAGAAAAAAACAAAACTACCAGTCTTTAGGAAAAAAACAAAAAACAGGCGATTAATTTAATTGCTGTGAAATAAGCAATAAACAGTGCTGTCAAAACAGAGACCAGGCCTGGCACAGTGGCTCAGACCTGTAATCTCAACCCTGTGAGAGAGGCCAAAGTGGGAAGATCACTTGAGTCTAGGAGTTCGAGATAACCTGAGCAACACGGTGAGACCCCGCCTCTACAAAAAGTTAATTAGCCAGGAATCATGGCACATGCCTGTAATCCTAGCTACTGGGGAGGCTCATGTGGGAGGATCCCTTGAAGCCACAGCTTTGGGGTTACAGTGAGCTATGATGGTGGCAATGCACTCCAGCTTAGGCAACAAGCAAGACCCTGTCTCTTAAAAAAAAACACAAGGAAAGGGCCAGGCACAGTGACTCAGCTGTAATCCCAGCACTTTGGGAGGCCAAGGTGGGCAGATCGCTTGAGGTCAGGAGTTCAAGACCAGCCTGGCCAACATGGTGAAACCCCATCTCAGCTAAAAATAGAAACATTAGCCGGGCATCGTGGTGGACCCCTGTTATCCCAGCTACTCGGGAGGCTGAGGCAGAAGAATTGCCTGAACCCAGGAGGCAGAGGTTGCAATGAGCTAAGACCACACCACTGTACTCCAGCCTGGGTGACAGACCAAGACTCCGTCTCAAAAGAAAAAAAAAACAAGGAAAAAAATCCTCAAAAAACACAGACCATCCTTAGACAGCTATTAATAACCCATATGCCATTAAAGCATGATTCTATTTATGTACATGTATACACATTCACACACGCACACACAAATACATTCACATCACCTCAGGATGAATAAAGGACTTACTGTTTTTCTCTCAGTCTCTCATATGTTTCCATGTCAGGTTTGATCTGCTTGGTCAACCGATGGTACTGGCGTAACTGGGCAGCAGCATAATCTAAAAACATCAAATGAGAAACAGAGATGATATATTTCCTTCTTTGGACCTTCCTACTGAGAGAAAAATCTATACTATCCCTTATCCAAAATGCTTGGGACCGGAAGTGTTTTTGATTTTTTCAGATTTTGGAATATCTGTATTATACTTAAATCCAAAATTGGAAATGCTCCAATCAGCACTTCCTTCGACCATCACAGCATCATGCTTGTACTCACACAGTTTCGGATTTTGCAACATTTTGGATTTCAGATTTTCAGACTAGGGATACTCAATCTGTATGAAGTAACATATGCTCAAAACACTATTGTAAGCACAGCTTCCATCCTGAAGATGCTGACGAACACTCTTTGATAAATTTTACTCGAGAATTTAGAAACCCAGCTAACTGAAGTACAGCCTTTTTTCATTTCTGTCCTAAGAGACATATTTGTACTTTTTTTGGTCTTGGGCCTCGAAAAGAATATCCCATGAAGGAAGCCAAGAGGCACATCCTTTCTTGAAACCAGAGACAATAAAGGAAATGATTCTCTAACAGCCCAGCCAATAAAGTACAGTTCAATAAAGGTCAATCTGACCTGAAAATCCCAGATCAGGGTTTTTCCTCTTCTTTTTCCTCTCCCATCTTTCCGCATCTTCTGCACTGATCTCCAGCAACTTCACTTTCTCATAATCTTCTCCTCTTGCTGCACATTCCTAAATAGAAGAAAAAAGCTAATACCTCCAATTATGATACAAGCAGTAATTTCACTTACTTTAAATCAAGAAAGATCCAATAAATATCAAGCAACACTTTAACAGTGTTTTTTATTTTGAGACGGAGTTTCACTCGCTGTCTCCTAGGCTGAATTGCAGTGGTGCACTCTTAGCTCACAGCAACCTCCACCTCCCAGGTTCAAGGAATTCTCATCCCTCAGCCTCCCAAGTAGCTGGGACTACAGGAACATGCTGCCATGCCTGGCTAATTTTTGCATTTTTAGTAAAGACGGGGTTTTGCCATGTTGGCCAGGCTGGTCTCAAATTCCTGACCTCATGTGATCCAACTGCCTTGGCCTCCCAAAGTGCTAGGATTACAGGCGTGAGCCACCGTGCCCGGCCCTTCCTTTAAGTATTACTAAATATTATTAAAGGGGCCGGGTACGGTGGCTCACGCCTGTAATCCCAGCACTTTGGGAGGCCGAGGCGAGTGGATCACAAAGTCAAGAGATCGAGACCATCATGGTCAACATGGTGAAACCCCATCTCTACTAAAAATACAAAAAATTAGCTGAGCATGGTGGCATGTGCCTGTAATCCCAGCTACTCAGGAGGCTGAGGCAGGAGAATTGCCTGAACCCAGAAGGCGGAGGTTGCGGTGAGCCGAGATCGCGCCATTGCACTCCAGCCTGGGTAACAAGAGCGAAACTCCGTCTCAAAAAAAGAATAAATAAATAATTTAAAAAATAATAATATTTAAAGGAAATTTGGGAATATACTATGGTATATAAGTGAGCACATGATACTTACTGAGTATTTATCAGGTATCAGACCTTGTTTTAAATGTTTTACATGCATTAATTCACTTAATTCATAATTAACTCAAATAATTATTGCTATAGTCCCCGTTTTATTGATGAGAAAACAGAAGTACAGAGATGTCAAATAAACTCACCTAAGATGTTGCAGTTGGTAACAAGCAGAGCCAGAATTTCATTCTGGCAGCTTGGCCTAAGAGCAAGTGTATTCAACCACTATGTTGTAGTGTCTTGATATAACAGAATGACTAAATAAATCACTTATGAATATAGAATAGTTCCTAACCTTTTTCTTTTCTTCTTCTTGCAGTTCCCACTCCAAACGAGCTTTTTTGGCTTCCCAATTTGCAGGTAATTTTAGTCTTTTATCTTCTTCCACAACTTCTTGGTGATTTAATTTACGAGCTTCATTCTAAAATTGTAACGTAAGAAGTGTGTCAGCTAAAACATGAAAATAAATCCAGATACATCTTACCTGCTTTGAAGAGGATCAAGCAAGACATATCATAAGGTGACCCTATTTATCCTAAAAGCAATAGAGAGCAATCATGGGATCTTAAGCTAGGGAATAGGCTAATAGGGTCTACATTTTTATGCAGTCAAGAAAAATGTGTTGAGTTGCACTGGTTTGCTGTTCCAGAGCACTAGAGGCTAAAATCAGCTTTGCCTCTATGAGTTGTGTGATCTCTTTTTTTTGCATCAGAACAAGGTTTCGAAATATGGGAGAACCATACTATAGTGGCACTTAAGTAGACTTTATTGGGCATTTAATAATATTAAATTGGCAGGGTGAGGTGGCTCACGCCTCTAATCCTAGTACTTTGGGAGGCTGAGGCAGGCGGACTGCTTGAGGTCAAGAGTTCAAGACCAGCCTGGCCAACATGGCAAAATATCATCTCTACTAAAAATACATAATTAGCTGGGCATGGTGGCACATGCCTGTAATCCCAGCTACTCAGGAGGCTAAAGCAGGAGAATCACTTGAACCCAGGAGGCAGAGCTTAAGGTGAGCCAAGATCACACCACTGCACTCTAGCCTGAGTGACAGAGCAAAACTCCATCTCAAAAAAAAAAAAAAGAAAAGAATTACAGCACATGCTGTGAAAGACACTCTAATTTCAATTCTTTTTTGGAGACAGAGTCTCACTCTGTCACCAAAGCCGGAGTGTAGTGAGTGGCACCATCTCAACTCATTTCAACTTTTGCCTCTGGGGTTCAGACAAGTCTCATGCCTCAGCCTCCCAAGTAGCTGGGATTACAAGCATGTGCCACAATGCCTGGCTTATTTTTTATATGATCCCAATGTGCTGCCACCGGATACAGCTTTCATCTCAGATGATCCCGTTCTGTGGGTCTGTCAGATGCAGTGGTGTGGCTTCCTCGCCCCCTCTACAAAAGCGCCTGGCCCTGGCCAAGTGACCGATCTGAGCCGGCCTCCAAGACTACTCACCCGCTTCAGGTGCAGCTCCCGGAATTTGCGCAGTCTCTGTTCGCGCTTCTGAGCGGCCAACTCCGCCGCCGCAGCAAAGGACCCCTCCTCCACGCTGTCCACCAGCACCTGCGGCGAGGAGAATTGGCTTCAGGCAGAGCCGGCTCGGCTTCTCCCCGGACGGCCCAGGCCGAGTCCCCGCCGGCCCCGACAGGCTGGGCCTAGGGCCTAGACCGCCGACTCGACCCCACAGTGTCTGCGCCGACCTGAAGCAAAACTAGACTTCGCCTCCACCTCTCTCCCAGGCCGCTCCCCGCAACCCTCACCAACAAAACCCCCGGTGTGGGGTCGTCTAACTCACCTCGGATGCAGCAACAGCCGCCATCGCAACCTCTCTTCCCACTTCCGGCAACAATACAGAGCACTTCCGTCAACCTTCAGGCAACCAGGCCGATACGTAATGAAGACTACCATAAGCCCCGCCCCTTCCGGGCGGCCTCCGGAAGTTGGAACCGTTTTCGCTGTGGAATGTTTTCGATTGTGCAGGGTCTTGCGCCGCTGCGGAAAGCAACTGGGGCAAGGACGGGGAGATGAGTCGTCAAGAAAAGTGTTGGGAACAGCTCAGAATCGGACAGCTAGGAAGAAATGACCAAAAGGACCCTGGTAGAAAATCATCTACTCTGCACGCTGTTCCTGGAAACCGCCTTTGCAAAGACAGTGAGAGAAATCTAACGTGGCTAACTCCATCTTGCTTCTAGCCTCGCAGGCTGGCTGTCTTCGCTCATTCCTGGGCATAAGCCAAGCTAAATATGGGAGAATTTATAGTTTAACTTTTAAGCAAGGATGATCATAGTCCCTCCCTTAAACGGGCCCCCTCCCTATTCAGGGGCTGAAACTGCCTGTGTATAACTAATGAAAGAGGAGGCTAGGAATCCGAGAGGGCCCTGAATTCTGCTAAAATGTAGTTGAATGATAACCAGCTATTGTTTCGGAGGACATCGGATGTGTAACTTATCCAATTACTCCTGTAGTTAACGTCCTTATTGTAGAACTTAAGACTGGTTTTTTGTTTTTGTTGTTGTTTTTTAAGACGGGGTTTCACCATGTTGGTTAGGCAGGTCTTGAACTCCCGACCTCAGGTGATCCGCCCGCCCTGGCCTCCAAAGTGCTTGAATTACAGACGTGAGCCACCACGCCCGGCCAAGATTGGTCTTTTGAGGCATTCTTCAGACTTTCTCATTCTGTCAACTAACTGACCCCACCCAGACTCGTGTCTCATAACCCAATCGGTTCATCTGCCCCACTCCTCCACCCAGAGGCGGACTCACGGTGCTGCTGAATGGGTGGCATCTCCAACCAGTCAGCCGCACCCATTCCCTAGTGTCCTGCTCACAGCAAACTCTGAAAACCCTAACCTCTGAGCTGAGCCTTCCGGAAAACACTTGAGTGGTAACTTCCTCCCTGAGGCCAGCCTCACGTTAATACAACTCTACTGCAGTAGCATTTAGTATAGTGCTAAGCACTAAGCACTTAGTGAATTGGTTTTGTCAGCCCTGGGCCGGGAAAACCTGGGTGGGATTCATTCCCATGAGTAGAAATTTCTTTCCATTTAGAGCTTAGCCTATTGTCACCTCCAAGAAGCAGGTCTTGGCCAGATGTGGTGGTTCATGGCTGCAATCCCAGCACTGGGGGGCCGAGGGCGGAGGATTTTTGAGCCCAGGAGTTCAAGACCAGCCTGGACAACAACGTGAAAGTCAGTCTCTAAATTTAAAAATAATAAAAATAAATTTTTTAAAAATGGCCTGGCGCAGTGGCTTACGCCTGTTAATTCCAGCACTTTGGGAGGCCAAGGCGGTAAATCACGAGGTCAGGAGACCAGCCTGACCAACATGGCGAAACCCCGCTTTACTAAAAATACAAAAAATTAAAAAAAAAAAAAAAACAGCCGAGTGTGGTGGCAGGCGACTGTAATCCCAACTACTAGGGAGGGTGAGGCAGGAGAATTGCTTGAAGTCGGGAGGCAGAGGTTGCAGTGAGCCGAGATCCTGCCATTGCACTCCATCCTGGGCAATAAGAGCAAGACTCCACCTAAAAAAATAAATAAAAAGAAGCAGGTCTTCCCTGACTACCCTGTCTAACTTTTAGTACAGTCATTTGACTACTTTAATTCTCTTCAATTGCATAAATTTTCTTTTTTCTGTTCATTTTTCATTTCTTTCATCAGCATTATTACTGGAGAACAGCAGGGTCCGCCCATCTTGTTCACTCTTACCTGCCCAGCCGAGAGGCAATGCCAGCATTAATAACAGTGCTAAAGTTAATAAGATAATTCAGTAAGGTGCTGGATACAAGAGGAATTCATGAAAATTATTTTTTTTTTGTACTAACAACTACTAGTTAGATGTAGAAATGAAAAAGTAGTCCCTAAAAAGAAAAGCTATCTAGGTACAAAGTTTAAATGGTAACATAAACATAAAAATAATTTGAATTAAATCTGAATAAATGATGGATAACCTATTTTCTGGTTGGAAGACAATATCGTAGAAAACAGCATCACAAAGGAGCATCTCATATGAGTTTTTGGTCTTTTTTGTGTGTTTTTGTATTTTATTGCGTTTTAGGTTTTGGGGTACATGTGAAGAACATGCAAGATTGTTGCATAGGCACATATATGGCAATGTGGTTTGCTGCCTTCCTCCCCATCACCTATATCTGGCATTTCTCCCCATGTTATCCCTCCCCAACTTCCCATCCCCCACTGTCCCTCCCTAGATCCTCCCCAACAGACCTCAGTTTGTGATGCTCCCCTGTGTCCATGTGTTCATTGTTCAACACCCAACTATGTGTGAGAACATTCAGTGTTTGATTTTCCGTTCTTGTGTCAGTTTGCTGAGAATGATGGTTTCCAGGTTCATCCATGTCCCTACAGTGGACACAAACATTTTTTATGGCTGCATAGTATTCCGTGGTATATATATGCCACATTTTCCCTGTACAGTCTATCATCAATGGGCATTTGAGTTGGTTCCAAGTCTTTGCTATTGTAAACAGTGCTGCAATGAACATTCGTGTGCATGTGTCCTTATAACAGAATGATTTATAATCCTTTGGATATATACCTAGTAATGGGATTGCTGGGTCAAATGGAATTTCTATTTTCTTTTTTTTTTTTTCTGAGATGGAGTTTCACTCTTGTTACCCAGGCTGAAGTGCGGAGTTTCACTTTTGTTACCCAGGCTGGAGTTCAATGGCACGATCTCAGCTCACCGCAACCTCCGCCTCCTGGGTTCAAGCAATTCTCCTGCTTCAGCCTTCCGAGTAGCTGGGACTACAGGCGCGCACCACCATGCCCAGCTAATTTTTGTATTTTTAGTAGAAACGGGTTTCACCTTGTTGACCAGGATGGTCTCGATCTCTTGACCTCATGATCCACCTGCCTCAGCCTCCCAAAGTGCTGGGATTATAGGCATGAGCCACCATGCCCAGCCTTTGGAATTTCTGTTTTCAAATGAGTTTATTAATGTCATGTTATTCCCATCAGAATCTCAATGGGTCATTGTTTTTTGGTTTTTGGAACTAGAAAATAATATACTAAAAATCTTAAAGTTCAACAACACACTGTGTTGGTAAGGCCAAAGAAAGATGAATCCTACACATATTGGTGGTAGAACTAAAAATTGACTCGACCCCTAGGGAAGGCAATTTGGCAATATGTGTAAATTAAGGCATTTACTCTTTGACTCAGCTATCATAATTCTGGGAATTTATGTTACAGGTACAATTACACATGTGTGAAAGGAAAATAAATCTTGGGACCCCAAAATCACTAAACCAAAGGCAAAAGTCAAGCTGGGAACTGCTTAGGGCAAACCTGCCTCCCATTCTATATCTTAAAAAGCTGCTAAGATAGAAAAGCTACATACCTTCCTCACAAGGAATTTCCCTGTGGACAAATGACAGACAAAGGCAGGCAGATCACTTGAGGTCAGGAGTTCAAGACCAACCCGACCAACATGGTGAAACACCATCTCTACTAAATATACAAAAAATAGCTGGGCTTGATGGTGGGCACCTATAATCCCAGCTACTAGGGAGACTAAGGCAGAAGATTTGCTTGAACCCCGGAGGCAGAGGTTGCAGTGAGCAGAGATCGAAGATCATACCACTGCACTCCATCCTGGGTGACAGAGTAATATTCCATTCCAAAAAAAAAAGTTATTATCTGTTTTGGCGGTATAATAAGATATATGTACTTTTGAACCATATAAGTATTTCAGCCAGGCAAGGTGGCTCACTCCTGTAATCCCAGCACTTTAGGAGGCCGAGGCAGGCAGATCACCCGAGGTCAGGAGTTCGAGACCAGCCTGGCCAACATGGCAAAACCCAGTCTCTACTAAAAATACAAAAAGAAAATTAGCCGGGTGTGGTGGCGGGCACCTGTAATCCCATCTGCTCAGGAGGCTGAGGAAGGAGAATCACTTGAACCCAGGAGGCAGAGGTTGCAGTGAGCCGAGATCATGCCATTGAGTCATGCCTGGGCAGCCAGAGTTGAAACTCCATCTCAAAAAATACATAAATAAAATTTTTTAAAAATTTAAATTCAGGCCGGGCACAGCGGCTCACGCCTGTAATGCTAGCACTTTTGGGAGGCTGAGGTGGGCGGATTGCCTGAGCTCAGGAGTTCAAGACCAGCCTGGGCAACATAGCAAACCCCATCTTTAAAAATAATAATTTAATTTAAATTCTAAAAATGATTTTTAAAGTTTATATGGAAAAACAGAATAGTCAACAGTATTTCTAAATAAAAAATAGAATCACTGGAGCTCAGAAGTTCAAGACCACCTTGGGCAACACAGTGAGACTCTGCCTCTACAAAAACTTAGAAAAATTAGCTGGACATGGTGGTGTACACCTGTAGTCCTGGACACTTGGCAGGCTGAAGTAAGGGATTACTTGAGCCCCAAGGAGTTTGAGGCTGCCGTGAGCTATGATCACGGGACCACACTTCAGCCTAGTCAACCAAAGAAGAACCTGTCTCAAAAATTAAAAAAAAAAAAAATACTGAGGAGGGACTTGTCTTATGAGGAATTAAAAATAAATGTCTTTAGTAATGAATACAATATGATACTTGCACAGGAAATGACACATAAATCAACAAAACAATATAAAATTTATAATGAGATTCAGTGGAAAAGTGATGCTTCATAGAATACATAGTGCTTGCATAATTGGCCTAAATCTGCACAAAACAAAACTAGTTTCCTATAGAATATGGACAAACAACATCACCAACAGTCCGGAAATGAAAATTAAAACAGTTATATGTGGTTTTGTACCTCTCGGATTATCCAGGAAATCCAATAGTTACTGGGGATGAGTAGTGCTTGTATCCTTCTTATTTTACTGCTATTAAGAATCCCAGCTGAGCACACTGGTTCAGGCCTATAATTCCAGCACTTTGGGAGGCCAAGGCAGGAAAATCCTTTGAGCCTAGGAGTCCAAGACCATCCCTGGTAACATAGCGAGACCTCATCTCTACAAAATAAAAAAAGTAGCCAAGCATGGTGGCCTGCCCCTGAAGTCCCAGCTACTTGAGAGGCTGAGGTGAGAGGATCGCTTGAGCCTGGGAGGTCAAGGCTGCAGTGAGCCCTGATCATACCACTGCACTTCAGCCTGACACCCTGTCTCAAAAAAAAAAAAGTTCTGTTCATTTTTTTTTTTTTTTTTTTTTGAGACGGAGTTTCCCTCTTGTTACCCAGGTTGGAGTGCAATGGCGCGATCTCGGCTCACCGCAACATCCGCCTCCTGGGTTCAGGCAATTCTCCTGCCTCACCCTCCTGAGTAGCTGGGATTACAGGCACACGCCACCATGCCCAGCTAATTTTTTGTATTTTTAGTAGAGACAGGGTTTTACCATGTTGACCACGATGGCCTCAATCTCTTGACCTTGTGATCCACCTGCCTCCGCCTCCCAAAGTGCAGGGATTACAGGCGTGAGCCACTGCGCCCGGCCTGTTCATTCTTTTCTCTGTTCCTGCCAGTAAAATTGAGCTCTGTATTACCAATTTGCTTATATTGCCAATTAAAATCTGCAAGTGTGGCCTTAAAAAAATGTAAATGTTCAGCTGGGCATGATGGCTCATGCCTGTAATCCCAGCATTTTGGGAGGCCAAGGTGGGTATATCACAATGTCAGGAGTTCAAGACCAATCTGACCAAGATGGTGAAACTCTAATAAAAATTCAACAATTAACCAGGTGTGGTGGCAGGCACCTGTAACCCCAGCTACTTGGGAGGCTGAGGCAAAGAATTACTCTGCTGGGAGGCAGAGGTTGCAGTGAGCCAAGATTGTGCCACTGCACTCCAGCCTGGGTGACAGAGCAAGACTCCCATCTCAAAAAAAAAAAAAAAGTAAATATTCATAATTAAGTAAAGAAGTTTCTGGAAGTGAAAAAAGAGAAGCAATGTAGAAAGAAAAGGATATTATGTGTGGTAAAAATTGCTCAACAACTAATTTTATAAGCATATATTAAGAATATTCACATGGCCAGGCGCAGTGGCTCAAGCCTGTAATCCCAACATTTTGGGAGGCCGAGGCAGGTGGATCACGAGGTCAAGAGATCGAGACCATCCTGGTCAACATGGTGAAATCCTGTCTCTACTAAAAATACAAAAAAATTAGCTGGGCACGTGGCGCGTGCCTGTAATCCCAGCTACTCAGGAGGGTGAGGCAGGAGAATTACCTGAACCCAGGAGGCGGAGGTTGCTGTGAGCCGAGATCGCTCCATTGAACTCCAGCCTGGGTAACAAGAGCAAAACTCCGTCTCAAAAAAAAAAAAAAATATTCACATGATTTTCAACCTTGCTTTTCTGTGCAATATAATTTGTGTGATTTTTAAAAACTGG